CCTCCCCCTTTTCAATTTTGGGCCTTTAGTCAGAAAATATTGGGCCTATCAAATGTGATTAAAATTTCTTCTTGTTTTTTTTTTGGGCCTAATAGATTACTTTGAGCCAAAAACAACATAGATTTAAAATTTGGGCCTTTGGAAATGGACAATACTTTTCATAATTTGCTACAAATTGGACACTTTCAATATATTAAAATTGATTCTACAGGCCCTCAACCTGACACCAGAGATGGAGAAGATGCAAAGACTAAATGCTAAAATTGTAATAGCATCTATACATCTTCCTCGACATGGGGATAGTTCAGAGCGAAGGCAAGATGTAATCATTATTCATGGCAATGGGCTCACGGGGAGTTCAAAGCTAGCGATTGAGGGGAGAGACAGGGTGAGAAGACGCAATCAGAGACTTCAGAGATAGCAGAGTGAAGGCAATAAAAGGAATGATCTTACCTCATGGCGACGCCACGGCAGGCGGGAGAGTGAGCAGCGAATGTGACATGGGGAGAATACAAGGGCGAGAATCACAGTGACGCAATGAGTATTCACAAAGCAGAGCGAAGGCAAGAAGGATAATGCAGCTATAGTGACGGTGACGATAGGGAGACTCACAACAATCAGTAGCTAGCAAGAAGGAGCCGCAGGAGGAGTAATGGAGGTGAGGATTTGGAGAGGGTGAGACTGAGAGGGAGATGGAGATGGATTGGAATGGTATATAGATTAGGGCATCCGTAAAATTCTTTATATTTTATTTTCTTATCATATTTGCACATTTTTTTAAAATTATATACCCCGAGATGAGATGCCCTTCCTATAAGGTATTTTGTCCCGTCTCAGACTTGTCACGTCTCATCCCGCACCAAAGTGATCGGGACTGGGACTAAACAATTTGAACTCCCCTAATAAAAACTTTCAGCACATTTTAAATATATATTTTTTCTAAAATATTAATTTTTCTCATGTAATATCCTTAATTAGTTATAAACCTCTTAATTAATTAATTAATACTAACTTCTATTTACTTAAAATAGTCATTAGCCGAACTATTCAGATGAACCAGCAAACCAAAACATGCCTTGAGATTTGGGTATTTGGCCTCCCTAAAAAAGGAAAAATTACAATTAAGTCTCAAAGAAAAAAAACTAGCACTAAGTCTTAATGACAAATGAATAGTTGTCATTTATTAACATAGAACTTGTCACTGCAAGCTATTCATATTATCATTAAAATTTTTTAGTAATTATTATCTCCGATCCTAAATATAAGAGTTAGTTGACTAATTTAAGTATATTAAGAAAATAAATTAAGTTAGTTATTTGTAATAAATAAGTGTTATCTTTTCTAAAATATCCTTGCTAATTAATTGTATTAGTTAGAATTATCTTATTAGAAGGAATATCTTTAAAAAAAAAGGATAAATATGAGATACAAAATAAATTATAATCTTATATTTAGAATCAAAATAAAAATCAAATGAGCTATTATATTAAGTAAAAGAGGTAGTATATTTCTTATTTCAAACTTCATAATAATTCTCCCAAAAAAGGACATCCCTTGAGAAATCCAACAAAGAATTTAAAAGGGACAATCCGATGTTAGTTTAGAATTGAGCACAACTGAAATAGCAACAACCATGAGGATGACTAGTGGGGAAGCACAGTGAGCAAAATCAACCACGATAACCCAGCAGCAACAAAAGTGGCCTTCCATGATCGAATCAAGAAGCGATTCAAAGCTGATCGGCTACCTTCCAAGAGGAAATTTGGAACGAACTCGAAGTTGAAGAGTGGGAAGAGAAATACCGAGATGCTCTGTAGATGAATCTTTAGATCTGGGATCGGTAAGCACAAGACGACAGGCATCCAGATTGTCAAAATTACGAGAATTAGATGAACAAAAACTAGAGAGAAAGTCACATCAGACACTATTTCAGCAACCGAACTGGCCTCTTGGAAAGCTTCTTCCATTTCCCTTTGCGAAGAGACTTGCTGCATTCATCACAACTTGAGGCTCATCTACATAGCCAACCAGAGAGGCATTGCAGATGCCACGAAGTTCTGAATCGAAACAATCTGGGAAAATGGAACGACGTAAATCGTACAACTTCCTAAGCATAACTGAACCACACACTCAGTCGTCATTGCCCATTTCAGAATGAGCATGTTCTTTATCGTCCCTCGAATTTCGATTTTCTTGGCTAGGGAAAGGTCCAATTCAGCATGGATTATTCGACGAGAGTTTGGATTTTCATGGTTTTCAGATTTCGTAGAGAAACCATAGGCAGAGAAAATTTTGGGCATGCTTGGCCTTCTGAAAGTCGCAAGACCTAATAGGTTCTCATGGTTTTGTGAAGCATTCTGGAATACTACAGATCTTGTGATCGCATGTGAGGAGGACGAGACACTTGTGGGATTTTCATGGGGCGATGGAGAGAATTTGTTGCTTTTTGATAGAGTCGAAGGAAGAAGGAGAGGAAAATGAAAAGAAGGTTTCGCAATAGTGCAAGAAGAACGAGAAGATGAGATCAACCTCGAGCAAAATCTGTGAGGAATTAGGAACCCCATTGTTGGAAAATTTCTTGGATGACAAGGTAAGCTTCTTTGCTACCGTTAGCCCTTGAGCAAATTGGTGAGGCATTTGCTTGGCGTGACTGCCGTTTATAGTAACAAAATATAGTATAAAATAATGAATTAATATGATTTTTTATTTACTTCATTTTGATTTTAATATCTCAATTTTAAAATTATAGGTTTTTTTCCTTCAAATTTTTTTAATTTAAAATATTAGTTATTATAATTCAATAAAAATGTAGATTGTTTTGCTGTATGAATGACCAAAACCTAGGGTTTGATACTTTATGGACTAAAGATTATATTAACCCTAAAATAATGATTAAAAAAACCATTGAATCCTTTTTTGAAATTAAAATAAAATGAAAAGATTATTGAGTAGATGTTTATAAAATAAAATACTTATTTTTTTATAAAAGACTTGAAACCATGTTGATATACTGTTTGATGGCCATTAATTATTGCAGACTTTTGGAGTGGCTTCATGCGAAGGATCATCCAAATCTAATGCGATAACTCAAAATATTGTGTCTGTTCATTGATGGAGGAAAGAAGCCAGCTGAAAATGCTTATTGTATTCATGAGTAAAATTTAAAATATAATGGCTTTTATCTCATTCTTAATATAAAAGTTAGTATAAAATTCAATTTAGTTCTAAACATAAGATCCCAATCCACTTTGCATCTCATATTTATCTATTTTATATAAGGTAGTCCTTGTAATAGTTGTACATGTTAAATGTTTCATCAAATGGCACTTGATTAATAAGAGTATTTTAGAAAACATAACATATTTTTATCACAAATAACTAAGTTAACTAATTTTTTAATCTACTTAAATTAGTCAACTAGCTCTTATATTAAGGATATGAGGTAATACTTTTTTTTTCTTTTGCCATGGATAATGGCTTTAGGGGGAAAAAAAACTATTTAATAGCAACCTTGTCAAAAACTACCTAAAATGTGAACTATTCCAGGTCACAACTTAAAAGAGAAAAGAAAAGAAAATTGTCCTTAAAAAAAACAGAAAAAGAAAATGTGATTAGCTAATCAAAATACTCTTCAAGTCCTTAATATAAAACATATTTGATTAATTTGATTATATTAAGGAAGTTAGATAAGTTAGTTAATTATAAGAAATATGAGATGTTGTTTTTAAAACACCATAATCATTTTTCTTAATATCTTCTCTCCTTCTTTTGTTTGATTATGGTTGAGGGAGATTTATAAAGGTAACTTAGAAAAAACTGATAAATATGAAGAATATGTCTTATATTTAGAATCAAAATTAACTTAACAATTAGTTCCATATTAAGGACCGAATGTGTGTTTCGTAACAGTAGATTTCTCATATTTAATTTATTTAAAAAAAGAAAGACAAATAAGCTGAAAAAGAAACATCAATAGAATACACCCCTCAAAACACACACACACTTTTTTTTTTTTTCCTTTGCCCACAAAAAACACACACATATATTCGACTCGTGCCACATCCAACTACTCTCGCGCCAAAGAAAAGGTCCGACTGTTTCGAAACCCTCATGGATTGGGCCAAGGGTTCCGCCCAAAATAAGCGGTTGATCTATTTCTATAAACCCGGCTCGAAAGCCTACACTATCTAGGGTAAGCCGTGAGCCGATTCCCTCGTCACACTGATCTCGAGTTGTCCCCGAAGGTTTGGGTGCTGTACGGTACTGGAGTCAGATATTCTGGATTTCGGTATCCTCTGGGAATTTTGCTGAAAATTGTGAGTTAAACAATTTCTTACTGTACTACTCAAGTTTTTTCCCCCCCCAATGCGATTATCTTCAAGTTTCCAGTGGTACGATAACTTTAGATTTAAGGATTGGCTTATGGATCGGCGATGATAATTGATTTTATTTCTTGCTTTGGAACGAGAACCTTGCCTTGATTAGCTGGTTAATATTTTCGTTTGCTCTTTGTAATAGATTTGAAGTTGTTAGGCTTTTGGAAATTTTTTTTCGAAATTACACATTTTATGAAAAATTTTCATGTGATGACCAAACAAATGAACAAGTTTCGTGTGGGTATTCTAAGTCTTGTGCTACTTGCTTGGTTGGGTAGTTCTGGGTAGTTCCATCTGAATTTCGAATTTCCTTTCTGACTTGCTGGTGATCGCTCTATTAATCTTGATATTTTGTTTTATGTGGCAGCAAGCTGAATGTGTGAGACAAAGATGGGTGAGACGGGGGGAGCAGAAGAGAGGCCTGTTTTCAGAGATATTAGACGCTATTACTGTGAATACTGTGGCATCTGCAGGTCCAAGAAGACCTTAATAACTACTCACATCAATACCCACCATAAGGTACTTTCTTGGATTAAGAAGTCCACTGTAAACATAAAAATTTTCGGTTTGTCAGGATTAGTTAAATAACTGCTATTAAGTTTTATAAATCCTGATGTCTCTCAGGAGGAGATGGAGAAAGCCAGAATTGATACAGATTTCAAAGTAGAGGATGTAAAATCCAATACTTGCAAGGAATGTGGTGCTAGTTTTAAAAAGCCTGCCTATCTAATACAGCACATGCAAAGCCATTCACTTGAGGTATTTATTTGTCAACTTGCTAATATCCTGCTGTCCAAATTTAGTTCTTCCAAATTTACATGGTTTAAAAATCATTTGTAGAGATTTTGAGCCGTAGTATGTTTTGAATCTGTAGAAAAAGATGGCAGATCAAAATTGATTTTCACTTGTCCATGTCTGTGATGTATGAGAGGAATTGTCTGTTTCGCATCTGTCAGATTTTATGTTTGATCTGTCCCCCTTAGCTGCAAAAATTCTAACTTTTTCTGATGTATAACTGTTTGTATTAACACTGGATGATATTGGTTGATCAAGCTACTGAAGATGCATGTTTTTGCAGGGAGTTAGTTTATAAGATATTATTATTATTGGAAAGTTGTGGATGTTATGGCGTGAAGCATTGGATCCCAGACAAAGAACTCCAAAATGCGGGAGGCATCATATATCAACCTGATGGATCAGTATCAGGCAGGGAGACCTCCTGAGAAGCTCCATCAGGGTGCCTCAATCACGCTCAGTTTAGTAAGGTTTCAGTTTGTTTGCTTATGTCTTGTTCTTGTTAGAGCACAGTTAAATCTATTTAGATTTTGGCATTGCAGCTTTTAACGCTTATTTAATGGTTTCAGAGGCCATATGTGTGTGCCATTGAGGACTGTCAAGCAAGTTACAGAAGGAAGGACCACTTGACTCGTCACTCTCTTCAGCATCAAGGGAAAACTTTCAAGTGTCCAGTTGAGAATTGCAATCGCGACTTTGCTTTTCAAGGAAATATGACAAGACATGTCAAGGAATTTCATAATGAGAATTCCACTTCTACTACTGCTGAAAATTCAAAGCAGTATATTTGCCAGGAAGTTGGTTGTGGAAAGGTTTTCAAATTTGCATCAAAGCTGAAAAAGCATGAAGATTCTCATGGTAAGATTGTTTTCATTTACAATTTTTTAAATTTCTTGAGATGTTTATTGAGTAACCTTGACACAAACTTTGGGGTGACTCAAGTTTGAAATGATATTAGACAATTTTAAAGATTGTCTTTAACCTGCAGTTAAGCTGGAGTCAGTAGAGGTAATCTGCTTATATCCTGATTGTATGAAGCATTTCACAAATGAGCAGTGCCTTCAAGAACATATCAAATTGTGCCACCAATACGTGACCTGTGAGACATGTGGAAAAAAACAGTTGAAGAAGAATATTAAGCGGCACCTCCGTATGCATGAAAGCAGCACTTCGTCAGAGACGTTTAAATGTGAATATAAAGATTGTGGTAGTCAATTCTCAAGTGTAAGACACTCATATTCTTCAACTGTTTAATGTACAATTTAAATCTGAGTTGTCTATGAGGTAGATTATTTTTTATATAGTAGTCCATTTTTGTAGCAACTGAATCTTACAATTTACTCGGACGACTATGCATCAACAGAAATCTAATCTCCAGAAGCATGTGAAGGCTGTGCACTTTGAAGAGAAACCTTTTGTGTGTGGCTTTCCTGGTTGTGGCATGAGATTCTCTTACAAACATGTGAGAGATAAACACGAGAAAATTGGATCGCATGTCTATAGCCTGGTAAATTCATTCACTTGTGCCTTCAACTTGTTTGAAGGACTTTGGATGTTTTAGGTGTGATGTGCAAAGTTTTTTTACTTGAAAATTTATGGATGCCTTGGTACAGGGAGATTTTGAAGAAACTGATGAGCAGTTCAGATCAAGACCGAGAGGAGGGCGAAAGAGAACATGTCCTACTGTTGAAATGTTGGTTAGAAAAAGAGTTACTCCACCCAGTCAATTGGATCATTGGTTACTTAACGCAAGAGGATGATCAGATGCATTAAGCTGTGTGAACTACATTCAACCATAAGCGTCCTCCTCCTACCATGCATGTGTTCCACATCAATGCTTCTGGGGAGTTATCAAAATGATTCTACGCCAACCATCCAGAAGTGGCATTACGGCAAATCTGGGTGGGAGAAATTATGTGAAGAATCATTGATTTAGGGCAAAAGCATAGTAAATTTTGTTACCCGTTGTATAGTATAGAATTGATGTATATTATTTACTGATTTGCTGTGGAAACTATGTTTGATCTAAAGAGAGATGTGAATAAATGAATTATTCAACCACTGTCGCTTTTCCATTTATGTTAGGAATGTTAATAAAAATTTGTTATTATTTATAAATTTAATTGTGTTAACACCGAATAAATTGTTCTCAAACATGGTTTGGAATTCAATGATTTTTATTTTTTTTTTGGGTCATTTGCTCTTGTTAGTAAACGAATTATTGACATCTCACGATTCCCGAAGGTGTTTTAACTAGTGATCTATGGTTGTCAATAGTGAAGAGATTCATGGAGTCAAGCATTTGGAAAATATGAAAATCCTAAACTAATTCAAAATGTGTATTGATCTCTTACCAAAAAAAATGTGTATTGGTCTTTTTTAATGTGAGCCTAGATTTGTAATCGTGCCTGGAAAAATGTCATTCTTCACGTAAGAATTAAACCATGTAAATTTAATTTGTAAGTGCAGACCTCTATTTTCTAATCTAGCTTGAATATAAGAATTAAAAATGTCATTCTTGTTTATAAAGACTTCTAACGCATTTCAAATATATAATTATATATATTTTATTTAAAGTTTTTATTCTACTCATCTTTAATCAACCGTAGAATTTTCTAACTAACTAAATTCTTCCGACTTGAGAACAATTTTAATATTTTCTTTTTTTTAAAAAAAGCAATTTTAACTAGTTTCACTAATTCATCTGAAGTTACCAGGAGCGGGTATTATCAAATGCAGAAATTTCAAGGAAACCAGCAAACCAAAACACACATAAAATCACGCCTAAGAAATCCAACAGAGAAAATTTAAAAGGGATGATCCAGTGTGTGTTTAAAATTGAATGCAACCAAAATAGCAACAAAGAACTGAAGAAGTAGAAACCAGTCTCAGAGACGACAACCCAACAGGTGAGAAAGTGGCCACCCATGATTGAACCGAGAAACGAGTCATTGGCTTCAAAGCTCGAAGATAATGATGATCCCGATCTTTTTCCAGAAAAGTGTTGGAATCAAGTTGAAGAGTGGGAAGAGAAGGGACAAGAAGCTCTCCAAATCGATATTTTAACTTGGGATCACCAGATGAGACGTGAAAGTCATCAAGATCCAGGATGAGAGAATCAATGTTTGTGAAGAATTCTGGAATATCACAGATCTTGCGATCACATGTGACGAGGACGAAGCACTGGTGAGATTTTCGCGGGATGAGGGGGAGAGACTGTTACTGTTTGATAGAGTGGAAAGAAGAAGGAGAGGAAAACGAAAAGGGGGTTTCGCGATAGTGTGGGAAGGCTGTGGGTGTGGAGAGTAGAGAGACTGAGAACGAGAAGCTGTGATGAAGCCTGAGCAAAATCTCCTTGAAATGAAGAACGCCATTGCAGGGAAATTTCTTGGATCACAAGCTAAGAAATGGTGAAGACGCTATCTCCTTCGCCGCCGTCAAACCCCGGTAATAAAACTGGTGAGGCTGGCATTTACTTGGCGTGACTCCTTTTTATGGTCAAAAAATGAAATGAAATAAAAATGAAAAGAATGAAAATGCATTTCTATACAACAGAATTCATTATAGCAGTTGTGATTTGATCATTTATCTTTACATAAATTTTCATTTTAGTTTCTTAATTTATAAGGTGGCTTTTTAATCATTTAATTCTAACAATATTAATTTTATTAACAAAAAAAATACTGATATTAAAATTGTAAATATTGACAAAACATTCCCAAAATAATAATTCATAGTACAAAAAAACTACTACCTCTATTCCTTAATTTAAAAGGACTATTTTGAAAAAAATTGAATAAACATGAGAAAGAAAATGAATTAACTCTTATATTTAGAACCGGAGATAGTATCATTTAAGGATGATGATGATGCTAGAATATAAAATTAGAAGGTAACTATACACCCAAAGGTTTATCAAATGAAAAAGAAAAAGCTAATGATTTCTTAATTGTTGTTTCATTGAGATTATTAATCACAGACCTTCGGAATCAAGTATATGCAATTCATCAACAGGGGGGAAAAAAAAAAAGAAGCTAAGTAAATGCTAATAACACTAATGACCACAATTACTTTTCACTGTTTGAATTTGATCTTTATATATGGTTAATTTTTTTTTTAAATTTTGATAGATTCATTATTACTATTGAATTAAATCATCAAACCCTCCCCTTGCATTGTATCAAAAAAATTTAAATCATTAAACCGAACAACATATCTTTAGGACCATCACGAAACGAAAGCAATTTGTCAATTTTGTACTCATCACGAAGTAACAAACAGATGAAGCCCACATATTTTTTAAAAGCCCAAAATTAATATTGATCAAGCCCAAATACATATTTTTGTTGTGCCCATAATATATTAAATTTTTAATGTGAATGTACTACTTTATTATTGATTTAAGTAATTAGAAGTTTAAATTTCACCTCTTATGCACACTAACAATCTAATTAGAATTTAGAAGGAATCTACTAATTTATCATCAATATCCAAAAAGATTATTAGATTTTAATATGAGTTGTGTATATTTCTTGTGCCTAACAAAGAAAATTATGGGACCTCATATAAACCTGAATAAACTTCATATCTAATGTTACCCTGAATAACTTCTTGTAGCTAAAAAAATTTATTGTTCTAGGATTTTTTTTTTTTTAATACATGCAGAAGACGTAGCAAACAACTTAGATCATAGTTTTATTTAATGATATTTTGCTAAATTATTTTGACTTAAAAAATATCTATTGAATATACTTTCAAAGCAAATGTAGAAGTTAATGAAAATTAAAAATACTAAAAAAATAATTGACAACTTTTAAATTTTTAAAATTTATATACACAAATATTTTTTAAAAGAATTACAAAAAAATTAAAAAATTAAAAAAGTTTTAATTAGAGAAAGGGATTTTTTTTTGGGGGGAGAAAATGGAGGAAAGTGTTTTCCACCTTGTATAAGGAGCAACCGATTCCATGAACCAAATTAACCAAACATTCTTTGGGAACAGATTAAGCGAATCAAGTGAAAGGAGTATGCGTCGGTGTTGACAAATCAAAAGCATGGTAAAGATATCCACCACAGGCAAAAAGTATATATAATTTTTTTTTCTTCATATAAGATTTAGGGAGAATTCCAATTAAATCTAGCCCAAATACCTAAATTCAGATTTAGTCCTACACTTTTAGCAAATTCCTAATTATAATTTCATCCTAAATATATAACCTCACTAATTAATGAATGTGACTTCATCCTAAGTATAAAATTTTAATTTGTTCTGTCTCTTTTATTTGATATTTTTCATTCACTTTATTTTTATTAATTTCACGGTTTTTCTTCCTCTTTTTATTTTATCACATTTTATACCCTCATTAGAAAAAGTTATTGTAAGAAAAGTGAATATATTTTTTACAATGTAATGAAAAATAACTAATTTAGCTAAGTTTTTAATCTTTAAAGATTAGTTATATAAGTTTTCCATTTATGAATCAAAATTATTATATTCTTTTTGTTCTATTTATAAGTAAAAAAAAATTATTCTATTTACAAGCTGCATCATTAATTTTTTATGTAAATGTAGAATTTCATTGATTATTGTGTAGACTATTTTTTTCCAACTATTATTTTTCTTAAAAAGTAGTGTATATATGTATATATCTAATAAAAGTAAAGCCATGAAGCTATTAAATTTTTTAAAAAAATTATTTCAACAAAAAATTTTTAAACTATTTTACTAGGACCATACATAGGTTAAGTTTCATACATTTATTTTGTTAAGTTTTTGAATCATATATAATCATATGTATTATTTTTAAAATATTATCAATTAAACTATAAATTTATGTTAAAAAAATAAGATGCACTAAAATGAAGAAAAATAACTCCAAAAAAATTTAAAAATTTGTAAATATTAAATAAAAAATATTGACAAAAATTACTTGTCATTTATAAATTCAGTCTCGTCAATACTCAAATACTAAATAGGGCATTGTTATAGAACTGATTTGATATTGATTTGATATTTAGGAATTCCAGGCTTTTTTTTGTCAGGAATATATAATTGAGTTGCGTTGGGCCCACACAAAAAGAAAAATAAATGTGATGAACATCGAGAAAAGAGAGAGGCGCGTGGGGTACGTTGGTGACACGCAAGGGTCAGATACAATGCACATCAGAAGGGCAAAGGAAGGAAGCGTGGTGGGATAAAAGATTGGGATTGGGAGAACATTGTACCTTGAAATTTTGAATTGCTGAGGCCAAGTTGCAGCGAGAGATACAGAAATAGAGATATTCAGTGATTCCCTGGTTGTACTGTGCTGGTTTGCGTTCAGTGCAATGAACGCTAAAGTAATCCCATTCTCAGAATCATGGGCTGTCTCTGACACGCGCTCATTAAAGAGCAAGGACAAATCCCCCCCCAATGCATTGAACTCAGACTCATCATCATAATCATAATAATTATAATGTCTGTGCTCTTTTATTTTATTTAGACAACAATAAACAGTGATATTGTTTTCTATTCTTAATATAAAACTAAATAATTAATTTAAAAATTTGAAAAATTAATTAAGTTTCTCATTTATGACAAATGTAATAGATTTTTGTAAATTATTTTTTTAAATTGTGTGTATTCAAACTACTCCCTCCGTTCCTTATTATAAAGACGAATAACCGAATTACGTTGATAAAAAAAGAAGTTAAAATTAGTTAAGAACAATCAATGTGTAAAAAAATATAATTTTTTTCCAAAAATGCCCTCATTAATAAGGAGAGAGAGCATGAGAGAAAATAATTAAACTATTGAAAGAAAGAGAAGTGGGAAGGAGAGAGTGTGTGAGTTGGAGACAATAAATATAGATAAAATAGGAAATCAACACAAAAAAGTAGAAACAAATTTTAAGTGTCTCTTATATATAGGAACATGCCATAAGCATCAAATGTCTCTTATAATAAAAAACGAAGGGAGTCCATTTTAGCGAGAATCTATTATAATAAATAAAAATATTTTTAAAAATACGAAATAAAATAGA